CCCTCGCACCGAGATGAACGCATGAAGCACGAAGAGCCCCCGTGTCGACACATGTCTCTGTGCCACACGTCATTAAACCAGGTTGTGTAATTGCAGTCCGGCACAGAAAATTGCAAAAACGCAATCCGGGGGTCACTTGCATTATTTAAACAATGTCCGGTGACCTGTAAAACACCAGGCCTAACATAAATACATCAGCCAGGCTTTGAAAGACGAAGGTCATGTAACAAATGTGTCTTGTTAATGCACACCGAGACGACACAGTCACTGCAAGGGAGGTTAATGCTGATGTCTGCACATGTGGTTGACCTTCTAAGTGAACGATCCTATGTTGTCCCCGTTTTTCTCTTTCCCTAGCGTCTAGCATTGTTTATTCATTTTAGGATTACGTTTTTGTTCTCTCTGTCATCTGTAGCTCACTCCTAGTCACTGTTGTTCCCTGCTACTGACCCAGCAAACCAGGCTGAGCTAATATATGGGATGAGAGAAAAATAATATATAAACCGTCGAGCTCAGACATAGAATGTTGATAAAAGCAGAATGAAGAAAAGCAATGCGAAGCATAGGAAAGAGAAACACCATTTAACGTGACCTCTGCTCCACTGTACAGTGAGGAAGTCCTGCAGCTGGTGGTTGCTGAAATCAGCACGAGCAAGTTGTTCCCCAACAAATACAAGAATGCAACTGTAATTATGAATATTGGTGCAGCATGACTGAGCTCAGGGAGCAGGGTCGTGTTTTGAAGAGGAGTAAATAAAAAAATTAAAAAACACAAATGTTTACGTGAAAGGAAGTGACTTGTAGCTGACAGGAAGGCGGGGCAAACCGAATAGCTAACAAGAAGATTTAAGTACCTATCAGGAAGCATAGGAACAGTAACAAACGTGTTTTGACATGCAGCTATGTTGACTGAGGGTGTCTCAGGCCTTTTAAAGTGATTAAACAGAATTTCTGTGCACCGTCCTGGATTGAGCCCTGTCAGGCTGTCATTGCAATGGAATTTAGCCCATCCGAGTTGACTTGTCAGGGCAGGAAAATCATGCTATGTGTGGCTGCTATCAGGAATCAGCTTATGTGTGGGTGTATTTGCGTGCTTATGCATCCCTGATCTGAGAAAATATGTCTTTTTTCTGTTTTGGTTCATTAAAGCAGTGGCACATAAGATAGCCTGCCATTTAAACCCTGTTTATTTTCATTCAAAAGTGGCACTTTTTGTTTATATGAGGTTTATCCTTTGACATATGGAAACCAGCAGTGGCCTAAATAAAATCCAGAATGTTATTGCATTAATAATGAACTGCAAACACACTACATCTGTCAAAATTAGATTAAGAAATGAACTGAAACTAATATGTGCTGTTTTTTTCCTGAAATGCATTGTACTGTTTATTGTGTCTTGGCACAGTTTCAGTGTAATCTGTTCAGAAGGTTTTGCTCTACTTATAAATGTCTAATTTTCACATTGCATGCGATTAACAAGATTTACAACATACATTCCTTTACTTAATATAAAAACGACACCGTACAGGTTTATTGTCGTCCCTTTAACCTAGTTATGTTGTATTAAGGATTCCTTAGAGATGTTTCTTGTCTAGAGTATTTGGGTTTCAGTAAAATGCTGTATACCAGTATTCTTAACATATTCATATAACAGTCTGAAATGGTGCCCCCCCCCCCTTTTTAAAATCTATTCTGAGCTCATTTGATCCAGGTCCTGACATTTAAGATTCTTCCTCCACTCTTGTCTAAGTTTGAATATTTGCTGAATTTGAGTGTTTAAGCAAATGAAGATGTTATGTTGTGCATGCATGAATAACAGGTTAATTAAGAGGATTTTTATACGTGTTGTAGCAGAAGGGCTGCTTTGTACGACAGATGAAGACTGAGTGCTTGAGTGTTTTAATGGCCTCATTTTTCTTTGGTTTCCTTAAAGACCTTGAATGCTAATTAGACCCCCCCCCCCTCACACACACACAGACACACACACTCACTAATTTACAACTGCTCTTTCTGAAGTGAGTTCTGTAGTTGTCTGTGTTTAATTATGGGGGTGTTGCAGGGGTTTTGGGAAACCTCAATTTCGGGCCTCTAGATTGCTGTTGAGGTGAACACTGTCAGCAATTATGACATTTCCCCCCCTTTTCCCCACCACCCAGTTTTGTCAGTGATTACGCCCTGTGGCCGGAATGAAAAGAAACACAGTAAAAGAAATTCCATTTTAGCCCTAAACCATCTGACCTGCTGATCTCAATGAATTTGGAAATGTCTCTAGAAAAAGAAAGGAGTACAATCTGTGTGAAGGAGCCCAAAAATATCCTCCTAAGAAATGTCACATGTTGTGTCTTTTATAAACTTCGGAGATCAGGGAAATTTTAAGAGAGACTGCATGGCTAATTACTCGTGAATGCCCTTTTATATTTTCTTGAAATGTCTTCCCTAAATTGTTTACAATCTTGTCGTGTTTACACACTAATTTGCCAGAGATCGAAACCAGTTGTGTGCCAGGTAATCCTCCTTATTTTGCGGCATGAAAAAAATCCTCAAAAATATTAGCAGCAATAACAAGACTGTAAGCAGCTTCCTAAGAAATGCATTCTCAAAACTGTCTACTTTAGTAAATACTAATGGTTTCTGTGTTTGGGTTAGTGTCCCTTAAGGAACAAAAATTAGCATCAATGATGTTTTCCCCAGGCACAATATTTTGTTGCCATTTTTGGCAAAATACCTGCTTTTAGTGTAAATTTTAGCCAGTTCTGCCTTTCCGTCTGGTATAGTTACTTTGAGTTTCGCTGGGTGACCCATTAAAAAGAAGCATACAGAAGTGATCGATGGCTCTGTTTAATAACATGTATTTCTCCTGTGTCCTTTTTCCCTGGATTTTTATTAAACGTTACGTAGTGTTCTCCGTACCCTTGATTTCATAATAAAGGTTACTGAGACACATTATTTATATTCCAGGTTGGAACTGCAGGAACGTTAACGGGCCAAATAAGGGTGTTTCTTGGGCCAAACCCTGGCATGCGGTGATGGGGAGGAGGCGGGGGGGGGGTTGGCATGCATGCGATGGGGGCCTGGGTATGTCACTGATGGAAGGAGAGGAAATGCATGTCATTAATTTGCAGGTTTTGCTAGTCCTGGGGGTGTCTGGGGCAGGTGAGAGGCATGGCAGTTTCTCTAGTGCCTCTAGTGCAGAAAAGCCACTGGACCAATACAACAACGCAGCCAGTTTGTTCAGAGCCCCCCACCATTGCCGGGTGTTTTGGCCTCACATATGTTAGACATGAGACCTTGTAGCATTTCACTGGAAAGGTTTTTCATGCTTTGCATAGGAGGTCACAGAAGCTAACTGCATAATGCATGTGACTGTGTGTGACTGTGTGACTGTGTGTG